GCTGAAATGTCGTGAACACGCGGGAGCATTCTCGAAATTTCATGAAATGACCGGAATAGAACGGGAGCCTTTTCACAGTTCTCGCACGGAAGCAGAAACGTTGAGAACAAAAATCATGGAAGCTTGAAGGATTTTTTTCTAATCAAATCATAATTACAATCTTAATATGCTTCTTATACGAAAAATATGAAATTCTTTATTCATTTATAGAAGAAATTTCCAAGTCTACACGCATTCTCGGTTATACAAATGCCGTATTGCTCCCTTGAAACAATAACAAAGTGCTTGTTTTTAACGAAGAAAGTTTCGGCGCGGTTACCGGGTATTCATTCATACCGTTCCTCCCAGCTGGATGAACATGTCAGTTATATGTAAGCACCCTTAAGTACCGGTCTGCCTCGCATAAATTAAGTAAACCGCGTGTTTAAATGCAAAGCAAGGCCCGCGAATAAAATGGACGGATCGTGAGAAAAGAAGAGACAAAAGAAGGAGTAAGCAGCAAAGAGCTAGAAAAGCGTCTCGATGCTTCATTCAGCACGTTTGTTCTAAATATGCATGAAGCGCGATAAAAAAAAAAGCCTTATATATATATTTTATACGTGCTCCTGCATTTCCTCCCTCCTCTCTTCCATTCTAAAAATTGAGTCACGTAATGCGGAGACGGAAGCAGCGACAAGATGCTTTTTTCCGGCCAAACCAATATAAAAAATAATGATAAGGTAGATCCGTACCAGAGACGAACATTTCTTTTTATTGTTATCAATATTTACCAAGTTGCATACCGCCGTTTTTATACAGAATTTATCTCATATCAAAGTATCAGCAGGTTTTATTAAACAATATAATAATGCAACTAACAATTTCGAGAATTCCCTTAAAATAATATTGAAAAATAAAAATTGTAAATTTATAATATGAATGAATGAATTAGATTTATTGATTCCCCTTGGGGTTACAATCTCTTTACAATAACTCTCCTTCTTTCCACTTTCTTTATACACAAATCGCTCTTCTTACTCTACTTACAACTATCCTACGCTTATTCCATCTCTATTAACGCTCTCGCAATACCCATATGCACGCTTCCTACTCTCTACGCAACATCTCTCTCCTCTCTCTCTCCGCAACCCTATCTCCCCAACGACTTCGTTTTTCGTTTTTACAATTATTTCACATCATACTCCATACACTCTCATTCATATACATCTCCGTTCTTTCGCCCATATTCACTCTCCCAACCTCCGTTCCCCCTCTCCCTCTCACCCACAACCGTTCTTTTTCTCCTTTTACCTTCCTCACTTTCCCCTCCTTTACCTTCCTCACTTTCCCCTCCTTTCCTCCTCTTTTTCCTTTATTCCCTTCTTCTCTTTTTCCGTTCTCCTTCCTCTTTTTCGAGAGGCATATATGGGAAAGATGGGACCCGAGCGGAATCGAACCAGCGACCTGACGCTTGTCAGTCCTCGACTCAACGCTCGGCGCCACACATCGCCCCCAAACTTTTCCGCATATAAAAATCTGATTCTGACTGCATTACCATCGGAAAATCCGTATATGAGATGTATGTCTGCCATTTAATTGTTTGACAAAACCATAATTTTTTTAAACGTAGACTATTGGGAAAGAGAACATCCACCGCGGAAAAAGGGGCGCTAACGTAGCATAACAAATATGGCCGCCGCGTCGACAGTATTAGCATTAGCTTTATATAGGTAATTATGTAAAAAAATTAAAAATTATTGTTGATTTTACATGAAAAATAAATGTTAATACTTTGTTTGGACACTTTGTGTGAGTATACCCATGCACCTCTCATCAAGAAACATGATCGAAGGTCAGAATGTTATTAATTCTGGTATGATAATAATGTGCAGCGCGACAGTAAAAACGAAATATAAAATAGATTTATATTCATTGTGTCTGCAAACAAGTGCCTTAACGTCGGAACCGCATGTAATAACAGGAAGTTTAATAATATCTTCAATAAACAATAACAGTAACGAAGAAAGTAAAATTAATATAGAAAAAATGAATTGTTCATGCAAGGCTGGAACAAGTCATAGTTGCAAACATATAGTAGCTGTATTACTATATTGTCTTTCACATCATCGCGTCAAAAACCGCTCCGATTATTTACAGGCATTAGTGGAAATGCATCATACCATCATGCTTGTAAAGTGTTGGGATTTTTTAACTATCGATCCTGTAATCGAGGAGTTGGTCATCCTAGCGATAGCAGCGATGCGTTTGAAGATACATCGTGATGTGAGGGACCTCCGTCCTCTTGGATGTTATTCAGAACAGTGACCTTGACAATATATGTCAAGGTCAAAATTATTGACGGTAGGTACGTTAATCTAAATATTTACCCCTTCTTTTATTACTCTTTTATAATATATATTTTCTTATATTTATTTTGTACTATACATCAATACTTACATTAAGGGGAATAGCAGGCTGAAAAGTGTCGGAAGGAAGTGAGAAAGAAAATTGTAGTTGCCTCTCTCTTGTGAATAACTACATATACAAGCATCGTGTCTGTAGTATACATACTTTTGCGTACACACACATTGTGACTAATGTAACCTTATTTTTCATTGGGCGAAACCGGTAAGCCTTGCATGCGCACTTTTGAGCAGTTACTCACAAGAGAAAGGCAACTATGATTTTCTTTCTCACTTCCTTCCGACATGTTTTTCTATCGGGAAACAAAGGCATTTGCCTTCCATTTATATATGTTCTAAGGGTCTATCCATAGACATAGTATATCTAGACCGAGCGTTTGCCTTTGGGAGCACCTCGGTTCCCACTCCTCAACACTCGATCTAGATATACTATGTCTATGGTTTGGACGTAGGATTCACTACGGGACCAACATAGGGCGCGTTTAACGACCGCAACGCTCGCGAGCATTATCTGTCTTTGTTTAACTTTCGGTGAACAACAAAGATGAAATGATACCGTAATGGCCTTCGCACACTGGACACGATGAGCGATGAGCGATGGGCGATATCCAATAAGAGCTCTGCTTTTCCGAACGTCACATCCGTCGCGAGGCTCGGCGCGATGTCGCTCAAGAGATTGGTCAAGTTTCTACTTTCGTCGCTCGCGATGCGCAAAAGTTGGCGACAATCATAGACTACACAGAGAAAAATGTATGACTGACATTTATATGCATACTTATAAACAACAAATATAATAACTGAAAACTGTAAAATAAAGATAATTCAAGATGCAATTTAAGTTTCTTTATTGCCCAGGTAGCAAAAGTAGTCTTTTTGACGTCGTTTTGACCTAATTTGACGTCAAAATAACGTCAAAATGACTACTTTTGCTACCTGGGTGCCCAGTAGAGTAGAAAAAGAGATGAGTTTTATAAAGTTTTTTAAAAGTTGGTTTTATTAACTTTTTTAAAATATTGTTTTAATATGAAAAATATTATTCATTAATATAAAAAATATATTGTTTAATATGAAAAATAAAATAATTTAATATTGGTTTACGAACGTATTGATTTACAAATGTATATTTGTATTTACATTTAAATAAATGATAGATAATTCTATTATTAAAAAACGTCTTCGTCTGTTAAAATATCTGCCAATAGCTGATTCCATAGCGTGCTAAATTCATACAATTACAAATGTGACATTTATAAATTATGTTATTGTTTTAAATTAATTATTTTATTTTGTAAATTTAAAGTACTTACCGGTACACCATTATATTTGGTGTATTCTTTATTCTCTATCAATGTAACACTTCAGTTCTCTTTTTATTAATAAATACTCTCTTTACTAATAAACACAATGCCAATTTAATTCAATTTCTCGATCGTTGCGTCGCTCGTCGCGTTCAATCGCCTCAAATCGCGTTCAGTGTAAACGAAGGAAAATAAATTTTCACAAACTCGTCGCGCATCGCCCATCGTGTCCAGTGTGCGAGGATGATAAGCGTTGCAGTCGTGAAGTGAAACGCATCCCTTATGGCCCTCGCACACTGGACGCGATGAGCGATAAACGATGGGCGATATCCAATGAGAGCTTTATTTTTTCGGATAAGCAGAGCTCTCATTGGATATCGCCCATCCGCACTCCGTTATTATGTATACCTTAATTGTGGAAAAGGATTTGTTGATATCTATAATCAACAAAAAGATTTTGCATTCCTACTAATATTCGCATTCTGTCGGTAATCCGGCAATCTCTTAACATTGGAGGACAGAGATATACTGGTCGGATCTGTTTCTCTCTCGCACAGTTGAAGGAGAGGGGATATCGCAGTTGGCGGAGAATGAACGGAGAGGCGAGGAAATGCACATATACTCGCAAACTGTTCTGTTATATCCGCTTGTAAATATAGATTGAATATAATAAAATAATTAACTGAAATATAAAAAAAATGAAAAAAGCATTTTAAATAATCAATAATTCACTATAAAATAAAAATAAATAGATGAATCTCGACAATTATTTTAACTATGACAAAAAAAATTTTTTTGAGTTATGTTACATTAAAATTTCAATAGTTTTTAAGATCTGCGAATACACACACACACACACACACACACACACACACACACACACACACACACACACACACACACACACACACACACACACACACACACACACACACACACACACACACACACACACACACACACACACACACACACACACACACACACACACACACACACACACACACACACACACACACACACACACACACACACACACACACACACACACACACACACACACACACACACACACACACACACACACACACATCCATCCGGACATTTTATTGAGAAACATGAAAACTCAAATAATGTTGAAAAAGGTAAAAATGATAAAATATAGGTATGAAATATGTATTACTGATTGCTAAATATATAAAAAACATTTTTATAATAAATCGTGAACATCATTCATTGTTTTATTTAATTAAAATAACTGTAAAAAAAGAATAATTACAAATCTATAAACGGATTTATTTATAATAATATAAAATATTCGTGTGCACATAAAAAATATTAATTATACAATGAATCGGTGTTTATTCTGATGTGCAATAATAATAAGAAATATTGACAATATCGTTCTTCTTTGTTCAACTTCTTAACAATAATAATTAACTCCATTATTCGTAGTTATGCATATTTGAAGAATTAAATATTGAAAAAATACCTATAGATGAACTATGCTAACTAAAATTTTTACAAAATTTTTAATCGTAGTATAATTTTATATAGCTTGCATTTAGTTTTAACTTAAGAAATTTTTTGTAGTAAATAATTTACTTTTAAGTATTTTAGTAGATTTATTTATTTGTGAAAAAACATGTTAATTTAGTGTTAGAATTTTGTGAGTTTGTAGCATATAATTTTCAGTGAACCGCCTATTGAACTATACCAAAATGCATTTTTGGATATAGCTCAGACCAATGAATACATTTTGAACTATAAGATCTCAATTTCTTTAAAATTAGTGTTATTTCAATTTTTAGCTTATTTATAACTTATTTTAACTAGAATATTAAATCAAATACCTTCAGTTTAAAATGATATTATTTTTAAAGAGAATGAAAATGACTTTTAAGATCATACTTGATTCAGTGGTCTAAGCTACACTCAAAAAAGCTATACTTAAAAGTCAAAAAAGCAATGCAAAACGTGTATTGAAATTTGATTTTGTATAGTAAAAATTCGCGTCTAAGATTATGTTATTTTAATTCTTAATTTAAATAAGTTTCTAAAATTAAGTAAATATAAATT